CACTCTGGTATTCCATTATGCCCTGGACAAGGTGACTCACAGAGGACAAAGGACTATCACTCTGTATAGCACTCTGGTATTCCATTATGTCCTGGACAAGGTGACTCACAGAGGACAAAGGACTATCACTCTGGTATTCCATTATGCCCTGGACAAGGTGACTCACAGACGACAAAGGACTATCACTCTGTTTCTTGCCTACTAGACCGGAGATATCTGCATTTCTGGCAGTGCTGGAAAATTCTATTTGACCCACGGGTCTAGATCGCTTACAGGCGCAGACTGGCGGGGAATTATAGTGACCCTTTGGCGTCATGCTATTGTTTGTGACGTTATTTATGACGTTTTGGGATCAGTCAGGTTCATTAACGTCATAAACAATTGCCATTCGGCCTTCATATGGAAATGAGAAATGTGCGGACAGTTTACAACTTATCTAGATGAGCAGCTGTTTTTACAGGTTTTAGGTAATAAGCAAGAAATAGAATCCATCCCTGATGTGAGGTATGGATAAGGTAATTCAAACCCTCGGGATAAAATATTGAGCAGAAGACCCTTGGCAAAGCCTTGGGTCTCCTGCTCAATATGGCATCTCTTGGGTTTGCATTACCTTATCCAAAATAGCACTCTGCCTTTCCATTATGTCCTGGATAATGTGACTCACTGGGGACAAAGGGCTATAACTCTGTATATAGTATAGGGCATAGCATGCTAAATATTTGTACCCCTTTCAATAGTACTGAGACCAATTAAAAAGTTGAATACAAAATGCTCAATTGCAATATCTTGCATGACTTAATGATAGTGAAATTCAATGTTCCAATATGGCGAACATACCTGTACACATGCCCTAATAAGGAGAACACATGGCAGGCTATTCCACTGAACTCAGCCTCTAGTTCATCACAGGATTTGGTTTTACTTTGGAATATATTGCCTACCAACACCTCTTCTGCTTCAGATAATCTACAACACAAAATCGGTAAAATCACTTATACATGTACACCTCTTTTGTCTGAATTAGAAGCAGTCAGGGCTTTTGCCAGCAACTTTGGGAAAGGACCCCTGAGCAGGAATTGGGACACATATGTGTTCCCACATGTACTGGTTTGGGAAAAACACTTTGGAAAAATTAAAACCTGCAATGTGATTAGCAAACAGTTTCCTTTAGCTGGCTCTTTTAATTGGGAATGGGTCCCTGTACCGGTAATCAATAACACAAAAAGACATCTCTCAACGGAATTGTATAGTCTTCAAATACAAAAGTTCTTTCTTACAATATCTTTTACCTCAGGAAGTCTACAAGCACAAAATCCTCCTTTTACACCTCAGGTAGTCTTCAAAACATGCAATATGCATGACCATCATTCATTTTCATTGTTTGAAGACAGTTCTGTGGGACGTACACTGGCGGTGGTTTTGACTTACTTGTTGAGGTCTACACAGCACCGAGCTAGCAGGTATTTACTCTGTGGGGTTGGACAGCCTCGCTTCCGTAGTAACATGTAGGCCTGTATGGACTTTCCCATTCTGTAGTAACATGTTGCCAGTAAAAATAGCGCTTCGTCTGATGTCTTGACTGTAAGACAAAGATATCTGTATATAATGCATAGTGACAACTGTAGATCTATCCATGATGATTTGGGTGGTCAGTTGGTTTAGTGGATACGGACTCGCCTTTCACTAAGACGGCCAAGGTTTGATTCCCCAATTGGAAGTGAAAGAGTAATGGCTCAACTGCCCAGCCATGTGGGCTTTCTCCGGGTAGTCCTGTATGTTTCCTCCCAAAGTAAGACACTCAGCGTGCTAACATCTGGGTCAGTAAGAGTGATTAATATAAGATGAAATAACGTGTTTCATAATTCTTGTCGAACGAATTCAGTTCAAGAATCAGTAATTATTTCACTTCAGTTACATTAACAAATCAGATGAATGTAGAATTTAAATAGACAATGAATAACCACGACCTTAACACATGGCAATGCAAAAATGTATTGATCAGACTTTTTGGACCTACAATACAGGGCGTTACTTGTACCATCCACAGCTTAAGCTGACCATTGCCATTTAGCAAATCAGATCAAATCACTTTTTCACTAAAATCTGAAGGTCAAAATATGCAAATAGACAAGATTCCTTTCAAACTCAAGAGTCAAAGCTAATTTTAGTCAAAGCTAATTTTAGGTCATAAACATACTCTCCATGGTCCACTGAAAGCCCTGTAAGAAACCTACCCCATCATTCTAAAATAAACACTGCTGAGAAGGCAATACAACAGGTTTTGACAGCAATATACCTCCCCTGTTCTATTATTAAGAAAATTGAACTTGACCTTTCCCACATCAACATATAGCAGAGTATCACTATGTGTAATTTCAGATTCTAGGTTAATCTCGGAATCCAAAGTTTGGATGGACAGATATTGTGATTACAATAAGCCCCATCCTTTTCCCTTCCCTCAATGCTAGCTTGTGGTTCGGCAAGTCATGTAGGTTGGGGTTGGCCAATCGCTTGCTTGCCCATGCTGTTCTCAGCCAGTACAATTACTTTCCATTTCTTCCGTCCTCCGACCACACTTTATTACTGGTTGACATCCGAGTAAGTTTTGCCAGTTGGGGGTTATAGCCCGATCACTTACTTACCCGGGCAAATTTCTGCCATTGCTGACTTTCTTTTTCTCTACCATACTGTGATGGAAGTAATACTTTGTCAATATACTGATATCATTTAACTTATTTTATATTTGCTTGTCATGGTCTTTTATGTCATATAAAATGTATGTTATAGATTTAATCAACTAGTTGGTATCTTACATAATTTGTGTTTTATTCTGTTGTAATAATATAGAAAGAAACAAGAGGCCCAGAGGGCCTGTATCGCTCACCTGGATATCTAAGTAACCATGGCAAAATAAGATCCAAATAAGATATGCCAGACCCCAAGGCCAATCCTTGTAGCATATATATCTGTAATAGATTTTTCATGCCAAGCAATTTTATGTATGGTTATGGGGTGGGAATCTCAACTGTTTCCAAGCTGTGACTCAGAAACTAGGTCCCTAGGGTTTTGGCCAGACCCCAGGACCAATTCTAATATCATGACTGCATTTGTCTCTTTTTTCCCAGCATTTGTATATATAGTTTTGGAGTGGGGATCTCAACCGTTTCAAAGTTATGACCCAGGGACAATGTCTCCAAGGGTGGGGCCAGACCCTAGGGCCATCCTGGAAGCAAATGAGCATTCTTCTCTTTAAACTCAGCAATTGTATATATGGTTATATGGTGGGGATCTCAACCATTTCCAAGTAATAAACCTTTTTGGCCCCACCCCTTAGCCCGAGGGGTCAGCCCCACTGTTTGTACAATTTTCAATCCCTGCCTCCCATGAATGCTTCCGACCAAATACGATCGATATCCATGGCATAGTTCTACAGAAGAAGTCGTTTATAGCAATATAGCCAAATTGCCCCGTTTTGGTCGCCCCGCCATCAGCCCCCTGGAGGGTCCGCCCCACCATTTGTACAATTTTGAATCTCCACCACCTAGGGATGCTTCAAGTCAAATATGGTTGACATCCATCACTTAGTACCAGAGAAGATTTCGCGTAAAGCAATATAGCCAAATAACCCTTTTTGGCCCTGCCCCTCAGCCCCCTGGGGGGTCAGCCCCACCATTTGTACAATTTTGAATCCCTGCGTCCCCTGAATGCTTTTGATTAAATATGAATGATATCCAGTGCATAGTTCTACATAAGAAGTCGTTCGTAGCAATATAGCCAAATTGCCCCCTTTTGGCCCGCCCCTCAGCCCGTCCATTTGTACAATTTTGAAACCCAACCACCTAGGGATGCTTCCAGTCAAATATGGTTGATATCCATCTCTTAGTTCCAGAGAAGAAGTCTCTTAAATCTATAAAGCCAAATTGGCCCCTTTTAGCCCCGCCCCTCAGCCCCACCATTTGTGCAATTTTGAATCCCCACCACCTAGGGATGCTTCCAGTCAAATTTAGTTAAATTCCAATCAGTGGTTAAGAGGAAGAAGTTGTTTAAAGAAATTGTTGACGGACGACGGACGCCACAGTATGGCATAAGCTCACCTTGGTCCTTTGGACCATGTGAGCTAATAAAGCACAAAAATGTACTTAAATTTCTGAAAATCTGAATCCAGGATTATTAACATATATATAAATGAAGCCAAGCTTACTACAACTGATGAGGCTGTGAATATTCAGAACACTTACCCTCGGCCACAAGTCGTTCTGCCAAGAAAGTTGCATCTTTGTAACAGTAGTTATTCAACGCATCCCATATAGCGGTCTGTAACAAATGAAGTGTGCACAGTTATAATAAACAAGAGGCATATTTCACATATTTTCTGTGTAGACTGACTGTGGTCAACTTACACATTTAGTTTTACAATTAAGAATTTTAACACAATCGATAATTGGTCTATTTAGTTTTTACATATACAGATCTACTGAAATTTCGATAGACCAGTCCTTTACAAAAGAAAATATAGAATATTTTCCCATCACTACTGTATACTTGCATTGTCTTAAAATCATACCATCATATGAAATAACTTCAGGCAATGAAGTAAACTATGTCCATAGACCCACAGTGTTTTTTTTGGGGATTGTCTATAGGGTCTCGTTAGTTCGGACATTGTAAACGAAGACCTGTAGCGTATACAACATTTTCTTTATATGGGGGTATTGTATATAACTCAAGTAAGGTAACTTGTTTGTAAAAGTAGAGAGTTTTGATAATATAAAGTTTACTCCAAATATCCTGGTATTGCAAAATCATTCTCAAGTGAGCTGTCACCAGAGTCTGTTTCGTGACTAGCCGACAGTGATTTTTCTACTTCCTTTCGCCAGGGGCTGGTGCCTGTTGATTTGGGAAAATATCACCCACAAAAAATCATGATTTTGGGAAAGAAACTGATTTTTTTGCATTGATTTTGTTAAAAAACAGCAAAAATTATCCGGGGGCAGGGGTCTTTATAATAAAGGCCCCAAATCAACCTTAAAAAAATCACAGGCTGCTACCTATTGAAATGAAGATATGTAACAACCAGTAGAGGAAACATGTAATAAGATCTGGATAAAATTTACTGGGAATGGATTTATATAAACCTGGGGTCTCCAATCTCTGACATTCTCTGAACGGACACTCTTCAAGCCAAGTACATGTCAAAGTTACCCTCTGTCATTAATTCATACCTCTCCCCGACCCCTACCCAAATCTGAAAACGAACAGCCCCAAAATTATTCTGAATAGCAACATCTTGTGACTAATTTACTTTGTTAAAATTCAAGATATTACAGTACCTCGAGTTAATTTCAGTATCTAATAAAGGACGTTTCACTACTTTTCGTAGAGACGAAGAATAGTGAAGAATGCATATATATATATCAAAGCAGAAAAGTTGAAACATTAGTCCAAGTGGCAAAATATTATAAAATATCAAAAGGGGTGTGGAAGATTTTAATTGTACATAGCTAGGATTACGGGTGATTCTATCTTCCAGCTAGAGGGAATTTATTTTCATTTAGCACTGTGGTAGAGTGTCCGACCAGGAACCATGGGATCGCAGGTTTGATCCCCGGCAGAAGCACATTATTCTCTTTCCTGTTACACATATGTAAATGATGAGCATTAATTAGGTTGCCTTACAAGCTTCAGCTGTAGGGAACTTCCCTTTAGCTCAGCAGTAGAGCATCGGGCTGTAGAGCCAAGGGTCGCGGGTTCGAGCCCCAGTGACGGCACTATCTTTATCACTTTTTCTCGTCCTTCTACAAACTGGTGCCGTTGACCCTCCCCGTTCAAGGTAGGAGAACCTTTGGCGGGGAGTCAAAGAACCTGGGTTGGTGATTGAAAAAGGGGGGAATAGTGTAAATGATGAGCATTAATTAGGTTGCCTTACAAGCGTCAGCTGTAGGGAATTTCCCTTTAGCTCAGCGGTAGGGCATCGGGCTGGAGAGCCAAGGGTCGCGGGTTCGAGCCCCAGCGACGGCGCTATCTTTATCACTATTCCTCGTCCTATTACACATATATAAATCATGGGTATAACTTACTACAAGTACCACATCATCCAAGTAATGAATCCAACCACTCTTATAATCATAGGATCTTAGGCTAAGCTCATATCAGGTCCAGTACACTCTGTCGATTGAACTATACAGCTGTCAAGACCTATAATAGCTCTATTGACTTATCTGAAATAGGTCTTTTGAGCTATTTTCATGTGATTTTCTTTTATAAGGAAAACAAAACAAAGTCGCTTTTAAAAGAAGATTTTATCATTAGGTCGATAATTACAAAAGACATTAAATATAAGTATTCTTTTTAAAAAAATAATTATGTAAAAAAATGGAAATTTTACATTGATGAAAATGAAAATAAATATCTAAATGTATACTTTTTGTAGTCAACATTACCATAAACCTTTTTGTTTTATGCGAAATTGAAATTGAAATCTGAGAAATTATAGCTCAATACAGCTATAATTTATAGGTGAATATAGGTCTTTATAGCTATATAGCACAATCGGCAGAGTGTACTGGACCTGCATATTACTGAGCTTTCTCTCCCTCTGGATGTGTTAGTTTACATAGTCCAGAGCAACACCAGACCACACTACGGTCACCAAAATGATTAACAACCAACGACCCCC